GGGACGCGCGGGAGGAAGGGGCGGCCAGGGGGCGGGCCGGCGGGCGGCCAAGGGGGGTACCCGCGGTGTGGGGCTAGGCGCCCCCGATCGGCCGGCGCCGGGCCAGCACCACCTGCGGAGCTGCGGCGCCCACGCGGCCGCGACCCCGCCGCCCCTCGCTCCCGCCACACACACGCGCGCGCAAACAAAACAAGTTGCAGGTCGCCGCTGCCGGAGGGGGGCCGGGCGGGTCACTCACCCTCATCCTGCTCAGCGGGCTCGGGTCGTCGGGCCGCGAAGACAGGGAAGACCAGAGGACCACGAGCCCCAGGAAGCTTCCCACCACCAGCAAACTGCGTAAGATGAACCCGATCTTCAGCCTCATCTTCCTCCGGCGGCGAGAGACACACAGCCCGGCGCAGCCGCCGCCACCGCTCTCCCCTCCCTTCTTCCCCCTCCCCCGGCCCTCCTCCTCCTCCTCCTCCTTTTTCCCCCACCCGGATCGCTACGCCCGCCGCCCTCCCCACCGCCTGCCCTCTCCAGCTCCAGATCCGGAACTCCCCTCGGCTTTACCTTCCCCTGGCTCTCCCCCTCCGCCCCCTCCCCGCGCCTGCCTCTGCGCTCCGCTGCCGCACCCCCCTCCCCTCCGGCGGCCTCCGCAGAGCTCCGACCGGCCGGAGTGGCTGGCTCTCCAGGCTTCCTTTCTACCTGCCCGCTCTGGCTCCGCAGTCCCCCCTCCCAACTCCACCCGCGGCCGCGAGAACCCCCCCTCCCCCGCGAGTCCCTAGTAACCTTGGAACTAACTTAACACTTTCCCCCAGGTCTGGTCTTAGCCTTTGCCCTACGGCTCGGCTTCCTAAAGCTTCCAGGTCCCCAAACTTTTACAGTAATCGTGGACTAAAAACTCTGTCCTTGACCAAGCCCGTGGCCTCCCAGGATGCTGCCACCACCCGTCGCCCCTCAGGTGGACCTGCAGCCTTTCCTAGGCGGCCCTTCACTTCCTGACGCCCACTGCCTGATCTCCCCTGCCAGAGGCTTGCAGGAAGCAAACCAGGAAGTCAGCTACCGCTGCTGCAGCGGTAGCTCCACGTGGCTGATTTATAGCTGGATTTTTTTTTATTGATCTTGTTTTTTCACAGGGCTTCTTAAGGAGGTGGATTTGTAACCGAAAGGCCCAGGTGAGATGTGCAAATACCACAGAACTAGAGAGGGCTCCCTTGGAAATACAGTATTACCTGTTCTCTTGAGCTAATTGGAAAGCCAAGTGGACTAGCTAATACACAGTACCCTCCTTGTTGATGAACTTGTGAGTTTCTACTCCGGGGAAAAGGGATTTCGGGTTTTTAAAGCATTCCACACACACTCACCATTGCTTCTCTCACAGCCGACTTTTCCGGAGAAGGATGTTGGCAAATGTTTAGCTACACGCCTCTCCCTTGTACATTGTGCCAAAGATGTCAATCACATTATAGCACAGTCTACAGCGTGTGCCATACTCCTAAACTACCCAATTTGTTTAACAAATGCTCTTTGATAACAGGTTTTAGGACGGTGTAAACTGACCTTTTAAATCCTAATATTGCCTTGTTTGCATCTATTTTGCTTTAGAACAAGTGAAACTTGGTGTTTCAGTTCCTCTGAGTGGTCCGCATTATTGTAAGTACTCTCATTCAATCAGAGATAGTTTTTCATTAGGGAAATGGGAAGCTGGCCCTTTATGCTTGTGAGCATAGATGGGCAGATACACGATTGAGTAGTGGTCCTCCTCACAAGAGTGCTGGAAGTTGCCTCTCTGCTATCAGTATTCAGAGTAGACCTGCCTGCCGCCCCAACCTGAAATACGCGTGAAAGGCTAGAAAATTAGAAGCTGATGAACAGGTATATGGTTGTAAAAGCCCATGTTCCTCTGAGTTGTTAACGTTGTTTAGGAGAAACTGAAAGGCTACCTTAAAATACATGCTTTTTGCCACATTTGCTGGCAGGCAGCCTTCCTAGAGAACTCTTTGGAAAATGAGACGCTACATTAAATGATTGGAACAAGAAAAGTCACACTTAGCCTCTCTAAGCCTAGAGCCCTTATCAGCCAAAATCATGATAATAATACTTCACAATATTGTCAAAAGGAATAATTGAGGACAAGTGCACACGAAAAGATAAAGTGCCGATAATGCGATGGGGTGAGTCTTAGTGATTACGGGCAAAATCCTTGTGAATGGCTATATGTAGGCATTGTTGCTCTGACCTATTTCCGATTTGTCAAGCCTTGAGTAATGTTCACTGAAGAGAATAAAGATGAGACCCTACTGGGAGAGGTACTGAGTGAGAACCAGAGAAACAGTGGTCTCTGAGAGGTTAGGAAGTCGCTTGTGAATGGTGACGTGGTACCTTTACCTCCAAGGCCAGCCTGGGCCTCGGAAGGAATAACATTTCTGAGCCGGTGGTCTGTGCAGAATGAACCAGGTTTGTCGTTTAAGCTTTGTAGTGCCCGAGACTGGTGTCCGCTGTTCTTAGAATTCAGAGCGGGTTTTCTCATCTTGCCAACACACGCACAGTCTTTGCCAAATAGTATAATCACCTCATGTTTATTATATAAATGCTGCCAGGGTTCCACAGGTCAGAACCTAAAGGTTTGGTGGTTTCTGAAATTTATCCCCACATGAACTCTTCTAAAGAGGAACCCCCAACAGGGACTAAGCCCACCTTGGGGCTGCACTCCCCTGGGGCTCTCAGCATACCCGCTCATCCTGTATCTGAGCTTGAGGTCTTTGGCTAAATGTCACTGCCTGCCTTCAGGCCTCTGCACAGGGATTTCTTTCCACCCGCACTATCTTTGACACCTTAACATTAAGCTTCAATGTCAGTTACAAAAGCTTTTGTTCCCAGATTCTCTTTACATGAAGATATTGGCCAGGTACCCTGCCTTCCACTTCATTTCGCCCTCATTACTGCTGTGTTGTGATTGCTTAATTTCCACTTGCAAGGAACAAGTAACATGATGCTGGAGACTTGTCCGTGGAGTTTATTGTGTTCCTGTGTCTGATGTGTACGAAGAGTTTAATATCTTTGATGGAACGCTGAGTAGATAGTTGTATTACAAATACAAAGGGAAAATAGAGCTTAGAAGAGGGCTTAGGAGCACTTCAGCTTCCATTGTGCGCTTCTTAGAAGCTGGTGTTCCAAGAACGCTTTGGAGGTTTTATTTCATTAGGTCAGTGAGTGCCTTATGGTAGTCTATCACTTGGTAAGCTGATATCTACTGGTGGTAGACAGATACTCTGTGGATAGTCTACTGATGGTAGGTAGATACTCTATGGATAGTCTACTGATAGTAGATAGATACTCTGTGGATAGTCTACTGATGGTAGGTAGATATTCTATGGATAGTCTACTGATAGTAGATAGATACTCTGTGGATAGTCTACTGATGGTAGGTAGATATTCTATGGATAGTCTACTGATAGTAGATAGATACTCTGTGGATAGTCTACTGATGGTAGGTAGATACTCTATGGATAGTCTACTGATGGTAAGATACTCTATGGATAGTCTACTGATGGTAGACAGATACTCTGTGGATAGTCTACTGATGGTAGATAGATACTCTGTTGATAGTCTACCGTGGCTACTTGTTTCAACTTCAATTCAGATTTCCTCCCTAGCATAGATTACTAGTTATATCAAAAGCTTAATGAATAATACCTGGGTTGTGCACATCTGGAATGAAAAACTCATCAAGGGCTGCCATATGATGAGATTATTGGTCTCCAACAGTGTTCTGAAGGCTAAAATAATCATGCAAAGCTCCCTTTGACTTCGTACTCTAGAGCGCTACCTCTTCAGAGCTGGGTACCGCTTGTAGCACCTGTAATTCAGAGGCTCTTCTGATTTAAGTGTTTGTTTAAAGGTCATCGAAACACGTTTTTGTGTCTCTTCTTTGAAAGGCCATCATTAGCGCTGGGTTCCTCTTAGAATCAGTCCTGTCCACCTGGGTTTGTCCCAGAAGATGTAGCTTTGCACCCACTTTGTTACCTCAGTCTTCCTGTTTCAGTGACAGCCATGCTGACTGCCATTTCCCAACAGCTCAAGTTCTCTCTCACGTCTAGACCTTTGTGCATATTTCTCCTTTGGTGAAGAAATGCTCTTGGTGGTTTTTACATCAACTGCCCTCATAAAATCCATAATCATTCAGATTCTTTCCCTCCCCCCTCCCCCCAGAATTGTTACTCTCAGTTGTCGCTCTGCTTCCTTGCTAGGTTGGGAATTTCTGCTTCATGTAAAGAGTGACCTGGAAGGTCCCTTTCTGAGCAGAGCTCAGCTTTTGTGTTTGTTCAACTGTCACCTCAATTAGACCAAGTTTTTAAGGGCAAGGACTGTGTTGTCATTTAGCATTGCGTTCCTAGGATGCTGGCAATGCCTTGCACAGAAGACGTGGTCAGTATGTGAGGCGTGGACAGGAGAGCGTGTGCCTCGTGCATTCACTGGCAAAACACTGAAAAAATTGGCCACATCCTATATTTACAAACTAATACCTTAAAAGAATTGTATCTGAATGTTCGCAAAACTATTTTGTTAAATCTATTTTTCTCTTATTTAAAGACTCGGAGGAAGACGGGAACAGTGTTCTAGACCTTATCCAACTAACATATGTGCTGTCATTCCTAGATAAACAGATAGTTCATTCAAGCTAACGGTCTGCTTGCTGAAATGAATATACATTGCCCAGAACCTTATGGTCTTTAATCGAGAACCTGATACCTACAAAATAAAAAGTAGCCTGTGTTTTTACTGATACCGATAGTCATCGTGGTTTTTTATTTGTTTGTTTGTTTTTATGAAATGGGTGGAATGCAAAGAATCTTGGAGTAAAGGGGCTGGAGAGCGCACCCTGCCCTTGAGAGCTAGAGGTTGACTAGATTTAAAGTTCTAATATCCTTTTCCAGATTTGCTGAGAACTCAGGTTCTCAGCAGAATGGTTGAGTGATCAGAAAGGCTCCACAGCTGAACTCTGTCAAGGTATTACTGTAAATCCTGTTCCAGCGTGTGCCTATAGACGCCTGCCCGGGCGAGCAGGCAGGCAGCTTCAAACAGCCATCCTCCTATTCTCCCGTCCTCCAGAGATCTTGCTTATTCAGCTATGCCCCGAATCTCACTGTCTTTAATGGGAAGATCTGATAGTTAGCAGACAAACTAGCCTCTGTCTTGTTAATACTGATAATCTCTTAGATACAGAGCACAGCTGTTCCACAGTGAGTGCAATGGTGAGAAAAACCACGTCAGTAAAAGGCCCAGAGAACCCACGCTTGCAATTTGTAAAACGAGAGCCAGCGTTAGACCACATTGGGCAGAGCCCTGCTACTCAAGGTCTCTGGAGGACTGGGAAGACTGCTGAGATCCGGAGAGGAGGGAGGGTCAACTCTGTGCTCTTTCGCAAGAGCTGATGGGAACAACAGAGAAGTACTTGCGCTTCCCTTCACCTTTCCAACGTGTGTGATTAGTTTTAACAAGAGTGGGGTATTCTTGGTAATGAACTATTCCTATAAGCCTTTTTAGACATTTCACAGGCGATAAACAGAGCTGCATACAGATGAAGAAATCTGAAGGCAGACTGCAGAGAGATTCTGCAGGAAGATTACCCCAAATCCAGGAATTAGAGGCTGGACAGGAACTCATTATCTGTTGGTTCAACCCTTCTGCTTTCGCATGCTGGGCCGAGTCTCACTGGTGCTCAGGAAGCTCATCTGTTCCTCAGCTATTCTCTCACAACAACGACCAAGTATATTTTCCCTTTTGTTTGAACACATGGATCTATATTAAATGACTGTTTGGAGAGTCACACCAGGGGCTTGTGAGCCAAAAGTACTGCTCGTCCAGTGAGTTCAAAATACTGTCATTCAGATAAAGGTACCTTTTGGAATAGTGCAAAGATGCTCAAAATTTGAATTTTAATGACATTGCTTTTGTGAAGAGCAGTCATTGAGGACTCGGCCTTTTGGGATGTCTTCTGTTTCTCAAACCGTAGAAAACAATTTTTTAACAAACAATCCTTTTCTGTGATCTTTTATTGTATATTAATAGCGATTTCTATTTACTCAAAGCACTTTTTTTATGCATGTATCACATGTTAGCCCTTCGTCTTAGACACTGGGCATATAGTAATAAACCCAAAGAGCAATAATCCCTGTCCTCACGGAGTCAGATAATAAACGGCATGTATAAATCATTATATATTGTTACCAAGTAAACCGCTGCCTCACTTGCGTGCCGAGAGTCTATAAAGATCAACTCACAGACTGAGATAGTGTATTAGACAATAAATACAGTGGAGTGGAACAGAGCAGGGGATTGCATTGTAGAATGCTGGATGGGCGTGAAGAGAAGTTTCCATTTTAGACAGTTGGAGAAAGTCTCATTGAGAAGATGACATCTGAACAAGTCCTGAATGGGGATTGGAGACAGAGCTAAATAAGAAGAGATAGCACCAAGCACCAGGAATAGTACATGCCAAGGCCCTGGGGCAGAAGTGTTTCTTCTCACACAGTCTGGGTGAGGTGGGAAGCTGGAGGAGGTTTACGGCCTCTGGCTTCTGGGTGTGGCACACAAAGCCCCAAAGCTAAAGGCAAAGATTATATAGTTAAGCTCTTGACGAGCCAGGTACGAGACTGCCCAGCATGGGTTGGGATTGTAGCAGCAGGAATTGCACGAGCTCAGACCGTGGATAGGTTTAATTCTTTCTCAACTATTAGGGTTCCAAATAATTTAGTTTATTGTTTGGCTTCTAGACTGTAAGCAGTTAAATTAATAACCTGTAAAGCAACTCTTTAAATACTCTGGCAAAACACATTATTTAAAGAAACCGTGTAAGCAATTACTCAACAATTTAATTAAATCTCTCATGCAACAATAGCGGGTTAGATGCCAGGCTCAACGAAGCTGATGAAAACAATTGAAAATGGCAGCAAAATATGGTTTTGACGGGGCTTTTGGGGGTTGTTGTTGTTTCGTTTGGTTTTTGGTTTCTTGAGACAGGGTTTCTCTCTGTAGCTTTGGAGCCTGTCCTTGAACTCGCTCTGTAGACCAGGCTGTTCTCGAACTCACAGAGATCTGCTTGCCTCTGGCCTCCCAAGTGCTGGGATTAGAGGTGTGTACCACCACCACCCAGCCCAAAATATGTTTTTAAATGAAGAAAAATACACCCACGAGATAATAAAACAAAGAACTTTAAGGTCAGAGACTGAACAAAGGAGAACCCCTTCCCTGCTTTTATATTAAGCGCCATGGCCAAACATAAGTTAACCTGAATAGCATTTATTTTGCATTTATGGATTTAAGAAAGGAGATTTCAAGCTGACCCCAGACTGGAAAGCTTGATAGGTCTGCAGAAGGCCACAGGGACAGCCAAGGAGAGAGAGCAAAACTTGTTCGTCTGGTTTCTTGGAAAGAAACTTATCTCTGCACATACCCACACCCACACTGTTATGTAGGGAGTCAGAATCATAAACTGCTTCTCATGATCTTTTGCAGTGAACATGCACGCCAGCTGGACAGTTAGGAACACCTTAGAAACAATCACTTAGTTAAAGTTGATTCCAGACCAATGTCATGAGGCATCTGAAAAGTTAATCTAGTTTCCCGTGCTTTTCTTATTCCATTTTTCATACAATCCATTTTTTATACAATGTATTTTGATGTATTCTTCCCATCTCCCGACTTCTTAAATAACACACGTGCACAGTCATCATGGACCCGTTCTCTGTTGACTAACTGCTGAACCTGCCCTAGAGTGCAGTTGAAATGCCCAGTATCCCTCCCCATTATCAGTTGCAATGGGCTTCTTGCTTAGAGGTGGAACTCGGTGCCTGCTTTCCTTCTCTGGGCTGGGATTTTTGTCTGACTTGAATTGGGGCAGGCTTGTCTCAGTCAGTCTCTGTCCATCGGCTGTTTTGTGTATGGAATATGCTGTTTCCGTGGATTTACCCACCACCTCCAGTAATTACAATCTTTCTGCTTAGATCGCTGAACCTTGGATAGGGGTAGCAAAGTGTGATACCTTGTTTGTGTTTTAACAAATAAAGCTTGCTTCAAGATCAGAGCACAGAGGTAAGCCACTGGAAGCCAGGGAATGGTGGCACACACCTTTAATCCCGGCGAGCCAGACAGGGGAGGTGCGCCTTTAATCCAGCACTAGGAAGGACGTGACAGGAGGGATATGGCCGGCGGAGAGAGGAATATAAGACCAGAGGAGACAGGAACTCGTTGCAGTCTGAGGTTCAGTGGAGACAGCTGGAGTCTGGAGAGGCAGTTGGAGGACAGGATCTCCTATTTGGTCTGAGCATTAGTAGAGGTAAAAGAACTTTCTAGTGGCTGGCCCCTCTGCTTCTCTGATCTTCAGCATTAACCCCTTTACCTGACTCTGAGTTTGTATTAAGACAACTAGATCATGCTACGGTCAAGACCTTCCGTTTAGGCTTGAGTGTGGAGATCAGTGGTCACCTTGGAGTTGCTTCTCTTTTTCCACTTGGTGAGTTCCAGGGACTGAACTCAGTCAGGTTTGGTTACAAGTGCCACTCCCTACTGAGCTATCTTGCTGACCTAAATAAAACTTTGTGTAAGGGACAATGTTTATGTATCTCTTGCATGCCTGCCTACAGAACCTGCCCTGAACTCACAAATCCGCCTCTGCTTCCCAAGTGTGAAGATTAAAGGTGTGTGTGCCCCCACTCCCAACTAAAGAACTCATACGGCTGGGCTGAAGCGGTGGCTTAGTAGTTCAGAGCACTGGCTGCTCTTGCAGAGGACTTAGGTTCGATTCCCAGCACCCACAAGCCCATCTATACGTCCAGTTCCAGGGCCTCTGACACCTTATGGCCTCTGCACACACCAGGCAGCACACATGTGGTGCACAGACGTGTGTGTAGGCACACATACAAAGTAATAATAAAAGAACCATAGGAATTCCTATTGTCAGTAGCCTTTAAGTTACCCGCCCAGTTGGGCGTGGCCTCATACTATTTATGCCGATGTAAAGCTCCCGTCGGGCCTCTTCCGGCTGCGGGATTTGATTGTTGTTCTCTGTTCCAGCAGAGGATATTGATCTGTGAGTCTACCCCTAAATAAATAACCCTCTAGTCTCAATTCTGAGCTAGTGTGGGATTTCTTTTCAGCGTCCATCTTCAAAGAACCATCACTCCATGCTTTGAAGAAAAAAAAAGTACTGTTCTTGTCTATCTAAAATGTCACAATTGCCAGTCAGTGGTGGTGCACATGCGGGAACCAGAGGCAGGTAGATCTCTGTGAGTTTGAATCCAGCCCGGTCTACAAGAGCTAGTTCCAGGACAGGGGCCCAAACTACAAAGAAACCCTGTCTCAAAAAAACTAAATAAATAAGTCACATTTGACGGTCCCTGAACACTCGGTGTCCTGTGAGGTAGAGGTGGCAGGAAGAGGATACTGTACTTAAATTGCACTTACAGCTAGGGACACGAGAAAGACATTTGTTTAAGACATTTGAAGAAATGAAAGAACTCTGAAAATACAAGGAACACTGAGAATATACTCAAATTCCAGAAGAGAAAAATGCAATTGTGAAGATTATGGATTGGTTGAATTGCAGATTGGAATTATCTAAATTTTTCATTTGGTTTCTGGAGTCCCACTTTCTTCTATCTTGCAGAGTCACACTCAGTTTCAGACTCCCATTTCTCTTATCTCTCATAGGGGAGAGTCGCTTAAACTTCAGTCTGAATTTGTTTCCTCGGTTTTAAATATTTTCCCGAATTGACACATTCATAAGGATTCACTTAACTTTAATAATTTGCAAACCTGAATTTCAGAACAGATTTCCTTTTTGTTTTTAACTCTATGTTCATTGGTGTTTTACTTGAACGTTAGGGTGTCAGAAGTCCTGGATTCAGAGTTACTGACAGATACGAGCTGCCATGTGGGTGCTGGCAACTGAACCCTGGTCCTCGGGAGGAGCAGTTAGTGCTCTTAATCACTGTGCGTCTCTCCAGCATTCCCTGACCCAAATAAGATTTATTTGTTGATTTATTTGGTTTTACGAGACAAGAGTTTTCTAATAGCCCTAGCTGTCCTGGAACTAGATCTTAGAGACCAGGCTGGCGTTGAACACACAGAGATCTGCCTGCCTCTGCTTCCCAAGTGCTGGGATTAAAGGTGTGCACTACCACCACCCTGCTCAAAATAAGTTTTGTTTTGTTTTTAAATGGGGTAATTCAAAAAGATTTTCATATTCCTCAAAATTGCCTGTGAAAGAGCATTAGACACGGTAAGTCTCTGATAAATTCCCCCTGGTTGAATCAAAATGCTACAGACTCGCGTCTACCGAGCATGAAAAGGAAAGCATTGTGGGACAGTGCTTCTCCTGATGCACCATCTACAAGGACCACACTGTCTTTACATGAAGCCCTTAACTTAAAGCACACTGTAAACATGGCAGAGATGCTGGGGAGGTAGCTATGGTACCATTTCCTGAACGTTGCTCGTTTGGGACTCGTAGCCGCATTTTCTGTCATGGTTGAAATTGCAGTATGCTATGGTTTTGATCAATAACACAACTTTGTATTAAATTTAGCTCTGTGCTAAACAGCAATACAGTGGTACTATTTTTTCTACATATACAAATAAATGCATATAGCTATCATAATTAAAGATATTTGTGTTTGGGGGTTCTTAAGGATCATCTTTTTATCCCCTGCTTTACCACAGCTTGTGAGTAACTGGTACATGACATATTGTATTTGCCTACTTAGTGTCTCAAGTTCATTTAAGCCTGCATGGTTTAGGGATTACAAATGATGTCTGTTTGGGCATCTAGGTTTTTGTTTGTTTGCTCTCGTTTGTTTATTTTGAGATGCTGTGGATTAAACCCAAAGCCTTGTGGATGCTAGGCAAGCCTTCTATTTCTTAGATACACCACCTGACCACTGTCATCTTGTTTTATGACTTAGGCTCTAATTTCATGATTTTTTTAATATATAAGTTCCAAACATGAATGTTTTACGCTATTTGGATGCTATATAGAGTGGCCTGCCTTAAAAAACAAAGCAAATCAATACTCTGCTTCTCGCTTCTCCTCAACCACCCACTTACAGTAGGAGTTCACCAATAAAATGTAGAATATTTCATTTTTCTTACTGAAACACTTGGTAGTTTAGATAGCATATGGAAAAGGTGTGTGTGTGTGTGTGTGCATGTGTGATTGTGTGGTAGATTATGCATGCATGCATGCATTGTGGAGGCCATGTGTTCCACACTGGGGTCTTCCTTACTCTTTCTCCTCCTTATTTGCTGATATGAGAGGTTTTCTCACTGAACCTCCATCTTCCCAATTCTTCTGGGCTGGCTCTCCAGCAATCCCCGTCTCTCCCTGTTATATCACTTGCATGTGTCACAGATTGCACGCATGCTTCGTTACATCCAGCTTCTATACAGCTGCTCCAGATGCAAACTCAGTGCCCAGCAAGGATTTTACCAACTAAACTATCTCCTCAGCTCCCTGGAACATTGAAAAAGTGTGTGTGTGTGTGTGTGTGTGTGTGTGTGTGTGTGTGTGTGTGTGTGACAGTTTGCATGAGTTTACACACAGCATGTGCATGCAGGTGACCAAGACCAGAGAATATCAGATCTGGAATGGGAACTACATATGGTTTGGGGTCACTTGATATGGGTGCCAGGAACAAAACCTGGTCCTGTGGAAGAGCAGTAAGCACTCTCAAGTACTGAGCTGTCCGTCTAGTCCCAGGGATGTTTATTTTTTAAGTTCAGAATTCTGTACTTTGTATGCAATCTAGATGAGTCAAGTTAATGCTATAAAGACTCCTGCTTGGGGTCATAATCCTGATCCCACAGACATCATTTCTTTTACACTTTGGATTGAGATTTCTTTGTGGTTGTCAAAGACAAGGCAAGCTTTGGATTCAGGAGCCTTTAGAAAGAAGAGGAAATTTTAGAGTCTGGGAAAAACCTTAAGATACCAACTTGTTTAAGATGATTTATAGGTTGTCTGAGAGTGCGGATGTGGTTTCTGGGTTATTTCTGGCTTTGTGGTTATTATGATTAAGTCTTGCTCTTATGGGCAAGTAGTAAGAAAGGAGGGAAGCCCTAAAGGACAGGGTGAAGTCCACAATTTAATCATTGTCATACCTAAGAATTTATTAAATGACCTAATAAGTTCACTAGGTGGGTTAATCAGTAAGATTTGGTTTTCCCCTATTTTTTTTCCTTTTTTCTTTCTATTATTTATTTGTTTTGTATTTTTCAAGGCAGATTTCTCTGTAGCTTTGGAAAGCTCTGTCCTGGTACTTGCTCTGTAGACCAGGCTGGCCTCGAACACACCAAGATCCACCTGTTTCTGCCTTCCGAGGGCTGGGATTAAAGGCATGCACCACCACCACCCAGTTGTTTTTCCCTCTTTTTAAAACAACTAAGAAAACCCCATCACCAAAGTCTGTAAGCGATCAGCAGCCAAAGGGTGAACACTTACCATTTATTGGGGCACAACCTTTTGGGATGAGCCATTTTGTGACTACTAATGACCTTGAACACATTGTTTAAATTATCATTCCAAGTGAGTTGTAACTGGGTTTCTACTATGTGTGGTCCTTCCATCCTATGATTCTATGTTTGGGTTGTTTTACTTATTGAAAGAAAGACCAGGAGGAATTGGGAGGGACGGCCCCAAAAAGAAGCCCAGTGTTTTGTATTATACTAATCAAGATAAAGGGGGAAGAGTGAAGAAATAGGGGGGAGGAAGCACTCTGGATCCAAGGGCCTTAGCACATGTCACATTTACCCCAGGTTTCACATGAGACATGTGACCCCTCCTCATTGTAATGTGACCCTTCATCATCATACCAAGCTTCATGGATTGAATGCCATACTATACCGTTCTCTCTAACACTGTCTTTGTACATGCTTTAAACATACTGTATCCTGCATGTGTTACCCTAAAATGCCCCATCTGTTTTGAAGCTGATATAAATTATAAATAATAGACGGTGGATTTGGCCTCGATTTTGATTGACCTCATTAGACATGAACCACAGGGAGCCACAAATGTACAACTCAGTTATTTTGGCTCTGGAGTGTAATGCTTAGAATTCATAAATAAAATAACAGAAATGATTCTGTCTTGCATGGACTGCAGGAAAAGCAACAGACAGTTGTACCTCTTGGCCCCTTCCAGTCAGTGAGCTAGAAAAATCGCCCAAGAGGCAGACTGGCAGGCCCGAGCATTTTCAGCTGTGCATCCAGAGACAGGCCTCACAAAGCTCTGTGGAAAAAGGTTGGCGTTGGTGTGTTCAGCCATGTTACACGGACAGCAGTGTAACCAGAGATGGCTCATTTGTTTCCAGGCTGCCCAGATTTGAATAATCACACAAAACCATATTAATTACAACACTGTTTGGCCAATAGTTCAGGATTTTTCCTAGCTAGCTCTTCTATCTAGGACTACATGGACTAATGAGGAGAAGTTGGGAAGAGGGAGCCATCGAAATGAGGATGATGGGTTGGGGCCTGGAGGCGGCACAGCAGCCCCCAGCCAAGAGTCCCTTAAGGGATTGGGGCCGCGTGGGGGGAAGGGCAGGGGAGGGGAAGGAGGAGGAAGAGGAGAGGATGGGAGCCCAGCCTCAGCACGCTGAAGTGGAGATGTGGAGGTGGTCGGGATACTTGATGGCTGGAGGGTAATTTTGCGTCATCTGGATGGAGACGTCGCTGGGCTGCAGAAACTGGCCCGAGTAGTCAGAGCAATTGCTGAGACGCAGGCGGTAGAAGGCCGGGTGCGGGCGATACTTCTCCTCCTCCGCATAGCGATTGGTGAATAAGTACACGGACATGGACATGACTGCGGCCCCCTCTTTGAGAAGGAAAGAGGAGGCAGCGAAGGCAAACGACCACCCGTGTCGATAGTGAAAGTACTGCTCAGAGCTGCTGGGCCTGTTCCTGACCTCATTATTGATGCTGGAGATGTACTGAACCAAGCCCACCATCAAGGAGAGGCCTGATACAATGAAGAAGATGCCAGACTCTAAGTCCAGAATGGTCTTCTGAGGTCGGATGTGGCCGATGCTGCTGATGACAAAGGCGGTGAACACAAGGGAAAGACTAACCATAAGGAAGGGAGTAGCCGTGCGTACCGTCTTCAAAATATTCTCCGTGTTTTCCGTCACCAAGTTGATCTCTGGTTCAAGAAAGTACTCGGAAGCCACACAACGCCCCTTCTCCCGACCTGCAAAGAAGCAGACTCTCCAGAGGCCAGCGTGCAGCGCCATCTTGGCCTCGGTGGTCTGGTTCTGCGGCAAAACGGTCCCCTCCTCCATGTACAGCCAGTAGTCCGTGCTGACCGCGATGCCCAGGAGGAGCAGGCCGCAGGCACCAAACACGCTGCTCAGCCGGGTCAGGGCACGGCTGCTGCAGTGACTCATCCTGAGCGGCGGGGGGCGCCCTGCGGGGCCTCTCTCAGGGCTGGGCGGACGCTCCGGGCCGCGGGCTCCGCAGCCGCTTAACCGGCCCCGCGGTTTCCAACGGCCGCCGCCGACGCCACCGGGGTCCCCGCGCCCCCCGCCCCCGCCCCCGAGCCCGGCGTCCCGGCCCCCTCCCGGCCTCCCACCCCCCGCGCCCGTGGCCTCACTCGGCGGACGCAGCCGGGAGCCGCTTGTCTTGTTTTTGAGAGGGGGGACTCATGCCACCCAGGCTGCCCTTGAACTTGCTATGTTGCAGATATGACCACCTAATCATCCTGCCCCAACTTTACAAATGCTGAGAAGACAGTATGTGTCCCCTGCTCTAATTACACAATTTTAAATAAAATGACTGAAATCCAGTAGACTCTTGTTTTTATTCTTTCTAAAATTTCCAGAGTGTATGCCTAATAAAAAATATACACATTAAGAGCCACTTCCTGTTTGGGAAATTAAGCTGTCACTCAAAAAAAAAAAAAAAAAAAAAAAAAAAAAAANAAAAAAAAAAAAAAAAAAAAAAAAAAAAAAAAAGGACAAGTTGCATTCCAAAAAAAAAAAAATCATCATTTAGTCAAAGTAGCAAATTACATCCCAGAAATCAAACTTTTAGTCAAAGTAGCAAATCATGTTCCAAAAATCAAAGTTCTAGTCAAGAGACATTTTTAATGTGATTTGACAGGTCTCTGCCAGCACAGGTTAAAGAAAATCGAGCAGTCACTGGAGTGCAGAAGACTGTTGGAATCTCTGGTCGCTTTTAGCACTTAGTCGTAAGAACACTTACACAGCTTCCTAAATGGAACACCGATCTTCATATTTCCACATGAAAAGCTTCCTGGTTTTATTTAAAATGTGAGACATTATCATAATCATTCATACATGATTTTAGTTGTGCAATTATTCTACAAGCATTGACTAGTTTGTCCAACTAATAATTAAATCAAATACCAAGGTGTTTCATAGTCTGGAGAACTCCATGGAATGATTAATATTACAATTTTTAAATTTTTTCTTTGCCGTTCTCCACATCTTTAATTTTAAAGAGTTGAGGTCACATTTTAATAGTATTCTCAACTACCATATTTTAAAACGTAAAATTGTGTAGCACAATTAATAAAAACTCAGAGACAGATATTGGTGTTCTATCTGAAGGTCAGAAAAACAAAACAGTTAGCCACTGGCTCTTATCTCTACCTCAGTTGAGAGGGCAATCTTGTCTCCAGGAATTTCAGAATGAGACTCCTCTGTTATATTCCTTTCTAGTGCTGGGATTAAAGGTAGACACCACTACCACCCAGTTTCTATGGCAAACTAGAGTGGTTACTAGGATTAAAGATGTGTGCTACCCCTGCCTGGTCTGTAAGGCTGACCAGTGTAGCTGTCTTACTCTCTGAACTTCAGGCAAGCTTTATTAAAATACAAATGAAATATCACTACAGAGTTGAACGTCTTTTCTGGGTATATTTCCCACGGTTTTATGATACATGGTCTCACATCATGAATTTTGTTGAAACAGCCATTGCTGAGATTTACTGTGGTGAATTCTTCTGTTTAGAAAAGAATGGGGGGGGGGAATCCATATAAATATCCCCAAAGTTCTTTGTGACAATCTGTAATGAGAAAAGAAAAACAGAAGTAAAAGTTTTGGCGAACGCTTCAGAAATACAGGGAAAAGGGAGTGTGGAGGTGTGTAGATAGATTTATTAAACTAATCAGAATTTATTTCCAACCAAGTTTGGGGAAATAGGAGGTTAATAGTTGATGTAGTCTGAATAAAATCATTACATAACCCAAGAACTGTGAACATCCTGAATCAGATATGATGTCAAGAGGAGATAGTTGATTGAATTTCCTTTAGCTCATCATTAGATAGCATTTTAGTCATTTTATCTCCCGAGTGACTAGACATACCCTTATTTCCTAAGACTAAGTCAAATAGCTGATTCCAAAGCAATCTGTGATGTCTGATTTTACAAGTCATTTAATGCTCAGTAACAAAAACAAGTCAATCAATGGCGGGAAGAGTAGAGCTAATCAGCTGATTTGGAGACTTTAGATTTATTTTGCTTCGTTAATTTTGATATCTCAGCATCACGAATCAGTATCCCGCATCACCTTTCTCTTTTCCTCAGATAATTTGAAGTGACAATATGTTTGATTTATGATGTTACATATATACATCTTGAAATGTGGATTGTTTTGCTTGATGGATTTTTGAAAGGTTGGATTGTAGAGATGGAAGTGGCTGTGAATGAGAATTCACACCTGCCTGATACAAGCAGGCATTTTTTAAAAAAAATCTCTGTATTCTGAATATGCACGCTTATACTATATAGAGTTACCTTGCCTTGCATTTATTACAACCCCCAGCACTAGGTTGCCGGTGAGTTTAATAGCACCATAACCTCTCTCAGTATTTCTCAGCATATCAGACAATCCAATCCTTTCTCCGTTTGCCCAAATGCTACTTTGGAGGCGTGAGAGCCATAGCTCAGTGGTGGAGAGATTTGTGTGTAAACCTACGTAGTTCAGAGCCGCCATCAGGTTCTGAGATGACTTTGACTATGGTCATAACCTTATTTTTCTCATCCTAAATGGCATTAGTTAATACTGTGTGTGGTATAGAATTTTTGTGGCTCATACACAAGTGGACAGATGGGGCAGGGAATAAATAAATAGACTGAATAGATGACGAGATTTAGTGCACATTTCCAACAAACTGCATTCAGAAGAACAAAAATTCTGCAATAAGCAACAAAATTTATGGAGACTTCGTGATATCAGTCAATGCAAAGATGGCCTAAGCTTTTTTCACCAGTTCAGTTCTGGAGTGTTCGAACACTAGAGTCTCAACAGTAAAATTCCAGTCATGTGATAATATTCTCTTTTTGCAAAGGCTTTTTAAAATATGTGGTCTTTGTTTCTTTGCTTTGTTGTTGTTTTCAAGACAGGTTTTCTCTGTGTAGCCCTGGCCATCCTGGAACTTAGTCTATAGACCAAACTGGCCTCGAACTCAGAGATTCACCCACTTCTGCCCCGCAAGTGTTGGATTCCAGGTGTGTGCCACTTTTATGTCTTTAAATAGACTAGAACCTACATCACTTCTACATCTCCTCCCCCTTTCCTAGTTCCCTCCTCCAGCATCTCCCTCCCCCTTTCCTCTCTCCTTTCTCCATCACCTCCCTCAAACCCCTTCTGTGTCTCCACCCTGGGGTTGATAGCATCTTTTTCTTTGATTATTATTGCTACTCAACATATAGCATATGATGTGTATGTCTATGCATATATACATACATACACATATATATCCTGTAGGTCTGTTTTTGTTATTTGTATATGTGTGGGTTTCAAGGCTGACGATTTTACACTGGACAACCAACAAGGACACTCATCTCTGGGAGACACTAATTCTCCTCCCAGCGGTCATCTCAAGACTCTGTTTGTCAGATCATCTTGTTAATTTTTATTGTGTTTTATCTTATATTGTGTTTGCTAAGTTGGGAGAATAGCATACTTAGCTGTACCCGAGTTTCCTGTAAACCTCCTCAGAATACAAAGAAGAGTGAAGGACCGGCTTTTGTTCTCAACGACTCTGTTTTTCTGTATGATGCAGGCGTTGCAAAGCTTTCATCAACAGTTACCAGCTACTTTCATTGTTCTCGTGTGCCAGTTCTGAGAGACTGTTTGAGATGCATTCGAGGACCGGGAGAGTGCACAGTGCAGCCTTCTGTATTAAACAAAGAACAGCAGCAAAATACACACTCCTACCCGACGTGCACCCAGTAGAGCGTTAATACAAACAAACCAGGTGCAAGCCAGAAAGCCTGCAGGAAACCAGGGGAGGAGGACGGAAATTAGGTTCTTCGGAGGTGCACAGTACAAAGGAAGTACGATGCTGTGTGTAATGGACTTTGATGAATGATAGATTTGGCCAGTCACTTCCTTTATTAAGATTTACCAAGACACTGGTCCAAGTAAACGGACATCCTCCATATACAACATATACCATATACAACACTAAGGGGAAGAATTTACATAAGTTCTGCTATTGTGTCTGTTCAGGCCAGTGAAAGTCACTTACCATCAAGAAATTACTAAACTGTAATATATTTAACAACCACGCTGCCTCACGGTTTTCTCCACAAAATATGGAGGAGGTGGAGTAGACTTGGAAGTCAGCTAGAGAAATTGCAAAGGTTGTCTAGTAATCACTCTTCATATTAATTAATGCCCTTTTTAGCCACTGAACCCTGGGTGGAAAACCCATATCATTTTGGACCTACCCAGAAAGTATTTTATGTCAAATTCTTCTATTACAAGTACAAACTGATTTACTTCTTTGACATTAGGAAAGTGAAGTATCTAATTAGAGAAGATATTCCAGATTTATGATGGCACATGACAGATACTCCAAGAACTTCCTAAATTTAATGCACTATTATAAATTATACAATGGGTCCCATTAGCATAATTGTCAAAGGCAGATGCTGCGTACCTTAAAGGAATGTCACTCTGGCAAAGAATGGGATTAGTAAAGATTACCAGAGGAGCATGGCAGTCAGTGTGGTAATCTTAAAGAGTGAAAACAGTCCTCTTTCTGTCCATCGTCATCTACATCACATTCCTTCATTATCACCGTTTAAGCACCAACTAGTACGGGAAATAAAGGATCAGCTAAGGGAAATTGGTTAGTTCCTTAAAATTGTATTTCTTTGTTTACTGTGGTAGGATAAGACTTCCTTGTGCAATTGGAAGTCGATGTAACAGGCGATTTCTGTGGCTAGAGACCTTTCTCTCTCATCGCGTCCATCTTCCCCTCGGGCTCCATGATTGACAATATTTAAGATGGCAGCTGGCTTCACCAGCCCAGATGCCTGAGTGATTACTGGAGGCAGAGTCTCGCTTCCAACCTGCTACAGAAATAAAACATAGCAAGAAATAGAATTTGCACATAATGCCTCCGAGATTTTAGAGTTTGTCGGTGTCCTAACTGAGCCTATCTTGTCATCATCCTGTAGCTGGAAATATGCAAGGATCACTCCTGGAACATCACAATCAATGGCGACGTCAAGACAGTTTCTCTGTCTCCATTCTGCTTTGCTTTCCAAAGGGAACTCCAGTAGTTGCTATGAGAAAAACATTGCCAAACTGTGCCAATTAGCAGAATTTGCAGAGAGCCGGTGGGCGAGATGGAGGGCAGGTGTTGCATTGTTAGAACACACAGTAGCTGAATGCTAGCCATGGCAGGCAGTGTAAGGCATTTCCTTCTGCCTCTACCTTTATTAAAATTATCAAGGCAAATGTTAGTTCATTGTTTAAAACAATGTATGACTCTCCCATTCAGCTCTGATATTTATTTTCCTGATCAAAAATGGGCCAAGGCAGGAATGTAGGAGTTATTTTTATCATTAAAAAAATTCAAACACAAGTGTAGATTCCATTGACTCCATTTAAAGGTATATTGTTTTTATTTT